GCTCCGCAGCCAAGATGACAGTGTCTAGATATTTTAGGACTGAGTGATGCTCCGCAGCCAAGATGACAGTGTCTAGATATTTTAGGACTGAGTGATGCTCCGCAGCCAAGATGACAGTGTCTAGATATTTTAGGTATAATAGATGCTATAGAACAGTGCTTCTCAAACTATTAGTACCACTTGTGGTATACGGAGCTCAGAGCAGAATATAAAATGCATACTTTTATGATGTCAGTCATAATATTGGTACGTGGAGAGCCTAAAATTGGTACACAGTTTAAAAAGTTTGAGAACCACTACTCTAGAACCAAGAAGACAGTTTGTAGAAATTGTAAGTGACGCTTCAGAGCCAAACTGGGAGCAACCAGACGTATGAAATTTTTTCAATCTTCCTAGTTCCCCAAACTAATCCGCTACCCCCCCTATATTCCCAAACAGCGCCCCCATATACAACCTGCTTGCCTGAACAGCTGCGTGTGCGGGCTGGTGACCCCATCCACCTGCAGTGCCTGGCCCACGGAACCACCCCCCTGCGTTTCCATTGGTCCAAGGTGGGGGGCAGCCTCCCAAGGAGAGCAGAGATACGTGACAGTAGCCTACTGATTGGCCAGTCACGGACGGCAGATGCTGGCACATACAAGTGTGTGGTCACCAATAAGCACGGCTCCAGCGAGGCCACAGCCAAAGTCACCATCCGCTGTAAGTGTGCAGGACAGCTCACCATGTTCTCAGGAGATCTAAACCTACATACTCAGCAGGCTCATGACTGCCCAAAGTACTGAGCCTGTGTTGATTATTGCAACAGGGCTACAGCAAATGTGAGTGAAGGGAATGTTTCTCAGGTATGTACAGATAGGAAGACACAAGAGAAATGATAGGGAGTGAGGGAGAAGCGGAAGAGGGATGGAAGATGAGCTGAAGGGGAGGGGAGTGTTGGTTACAAAAGGTGAGTGAAGATGGAGGTGGGTAGCGAGGGAGATGAATGAAAGGAAGTGGAGATGTGGGATGTGTCCTGCAGGAGACCTATAGCACTGACAGCCAGCCTATATGCAGTGTTGACAGCCAGTCAGTATGTAGCACTGACAGCCAGCCAGTATGCAGTGCTGATAGCCAGCCGGTATGTAGCACTGACAGCCAGTCAGTATACGGCACTGATAGCCAGCCAGTATATAGCACTGACAGCCAGCCAGAATGCAGTGTTGATAGCCAGCCAGTATGCAGTGCTGATAGCCAGCCGGTATGTGGCACTGACAACCAGCCAATATGCAGTGCTGATATCCAGCCAGATGTAGCACTGGGAGCCTATTTATGTGTGGCACTGACAGCCCACCAGTATGCAGTGCTGATAGCCAGCCAGTATGTAGCACTGATAGCCAGCCAGTATATAGCACTGACAGCCAGCCAGAATGCAGTGTTGATAGCCAGCCAGTATGCAGTACTGATAGCCAGCCAGTTTGAGGCACTGACAGCCAGCCAGTATGCAGTGCTGAGAGCCAGCCAGTATGCAGCACTGAGAGCCAGCCAATATGCAGTGCTGATTGTCAGCCAGTATGTATCACCGAGAAGGATTGTCCTCCTCAGCCTTGCATTTACAGGTCATTAATTTAAGAGACACTTTAGTTCAAAGTGACATACAAGTGAAGCAAGCAGCACACTTCACACATACTGCTGGCAAGGAGCTGGCCAGGCTGAGTGTCCAGTGAATGCCCAATTAACTATAAGCAGTAGTGGAGCAACAGCTACACAATATCTTCCAAACAAAGCAAGAACATAGTAAGACAATTACTGAAATCATCAAGCAGTGCAACATTAATAGTATTAAGGGAATATGGAATGCTATCAGGCTAATTCAGGTCTTCCTAGAACTGACTGGTCTTGAGATGTTTCTCAAAGTTGGAGAAGGAGTCTGATGGCCAGCTTGCTGGCACATAAGACATTAAGACTGGAGCGTGATCAGAAGGTCTCACCCCCTTCTCTCCACAGAGAAAAAGCTCAGATCCCACTCTGGACACCCCGTCCATCGGCTTCTCCCATGGACCAGTTTGGACCAGCATGCAGCAGCAGGGACCAGTGGATCAGAGCTCAGAGCAGAATATAAAATGCAGAACCTTCTGGCCTAGAGCTAATCCACGTTCTATTCTCAGAGATCAAGCTGTCCCCTGAAACACCTGAAATCACTGATTAAATGTTGATTTTCGTATGTAATCTCCTTCTTCCTCAGCTCCACACAAAGCTTCAACACGTAATTATTTTGTTTGTTAAATAACATGCACAGGCACTGTATTTAAACTGAATTACTTTTTTAAAATCAAGTATGAAACTGTATACATCGGAATTTGAATAAAAAAACATTAACGTTGCTGTTTGTAACTGGAGGACTTGGTGTCGATGGGTGGATTTACGATTCTGGTGCGCAGACTAAGAGTGTTGTGCATTTCAGGTCCAAAAACTACAAATCCAAGCCAATATATTGTTTCTAAAACCAATTGAATACTCTGTGACTGACTACAGTATGCTCAACTGGCTTGTGCATGCTTCCTGTCACACCACATACAAGCAGCAGGTGGCGCCAGAGATACAGAGGGACTACTGGAGACACATTACAGTTCGAGCAAAGATGATCGATTTACAGAAATCCCCAGGGCCTCACGTAGACAGTTATTTAAGCCAACCCATGTTGTTTGACATTAAGTCTTAAATTTTAATATCTTTGTTCTTGCCTATGAATGTTTATTTTATAAACTGTTTATTTTGGACTCCATATATTTTGTCTCCTGCTATTTAAATTAAGAACATTTATTTTTCTGTCAAGTCTATAAAGCACATAAACAGAAAATCTTTGAGAGACATTTTCAAAATTCAGCCATTTCCACAAACCACATATACTGTACATTCAGAGTTCCAGTGATCTCGAGTCAATCCCAGGAAGTTATGAGGCATGAGGAATATTATGTCACATCTAGTCATCATGCTGCACATGGAACACACACAGTCACCTGTGTCATCGCACATTAATGTTATATGAATACACCAGCTCAGTCCATTCAGTCATCAACCCGCTTATCCAGCTCAGGGTCTCCGGTGGGGGTCTTGGGCCTGTCCCAGGCAGCTTAGATTTGGCGTATAATCTGCACAGGATGCCAGTCCACAGCCAGGCAAAAGATCATTCTGAAACGTGGTGATACTGATGAAGGTTGGTGCTCTGAGCTGACTGTTCCAGCCGAATGTCTGCCTGCCGCCTCACACCGAGACGTCTTTCGCCTGCATCCTCACACCGAGACGTCTTTCGCCTGCCTCCTCACACCGAGACGTCTTTCTCCTGCGCCCTCACACCGAGACGTCTTTCTCCTGCATCCTCACACGGAGACGTCTTTCGTCTGCCGCCTCACACGGAGACGTCTTTCTCTTGCGCCCTCACACGAGACGTCTTTCTCCTGCGCCCTCACACCGAGACGTCTTTCTCCTCCGCCCTCACACTGAGACGGCTTTTGCCTGCTCACATTAGTGGTGAGCTTGGAAAAAAAAGCCTTTGGAAAACGTAGCTGTGGATCCACAAAATTCTCCTAGAGTATGAAAGATTCTTTGTGTTTCACTTCCAATGGTCTCAGGCTAAAAGCTGATAAAAGACATAAATCGGCGAGTCTGGCTCCCTTCGTTCATGTGAACATTCCGCCCCCCCAGTTCCCAGGAGCGCGGAACGAGCAACAGAGAGCGAGACCTATGGCATCCCTAAGACAGCTGCCAGAAGGTGTCCTGATTAACCTCTGAGGCAGCGCTCCTCTGTCACATTGAAGTGGTCACAGAGTGTTCTGACTGGTCACATCATGATTACATGAATGATTAAAGAGATCTATCAGCCTCTGAACTTTACCCTCTGGGACACAAACACCCCCGTCTGATGCCACTGGCATTCAGCAAACATGCATTCATTTTATAATTATTTTCTATCCTCAAAAGGTCTCTTAATATCTCCAAAAGGAACATTTGGCCTGGATTTTATTAATTATACTAAAAATGTGCCAGTTCTTACTGGATTAGCTCATTAGAGGGATATCTTCTTATTCTTCTTCATTGTTCATCTGCCTCTTAAGCTTTGTTTAAATGGCACGTAACAGACAGTCAATGTAATCTCTGCTTACACAGACCCTTACCCTACATACTCTGTGGTGACTTTGCCAGCAGAAACAGACTGCAGTGTGTCCTCCATGGCACAGCACTGTCAAGTCTTGGCCCGTGAAGGAGAATGTTAAAGCTAATTATCTGGACAGTAAGTGTACACTCCATCATCAGGGCTGCCAACTCTCCCGCTTTCAGCCTTAATCTCATGCTTATGAAAGAAACCTCAAACCAAATCTATTGCATTCCATTATAAACCTAAAACTAGCCACATAAAAAGTGTTGGGGTAGTTTGCAAACCCAACAGATTATTTACAAGGTAATAAAACTGCTATATACATGCAAATGCATGTGGATGTTTGTGCAGACTTAGCACACTTTTTTCCACAAGGGTATGCAATATGTTTCCTTAGTAACTTAGTAGTAAATACTTAATAGTAACTTAGTAGTAAACACAAATCATGATCAAATATAGTTTGTCAGCCCAGTAAAGTGTTCCCCATTTAACACTGCAATGGCTGTAATGCTCAGAAGAGTAACTGAATCCCACCTCCCTCCATTACAATGATTCACACCAAGAGGCACTGAGTTCAGGTCTCCCACAGCGGCCCACTGGCTCACAAGGCCTGACGTCTGCCTGTCTGTATATTTACTGTAAGCCCCAACCCCCCAGCTGCTGTTGACATGATGCACAGCTGTTTGCTCTTCATGTAGCTGAAAATGCAATAACATTTCTGCAGTCCCTGCTTTTAGCCTGTATAGGGCCATATAAGCTGCACTCCCAACCATCTAGAGACCTGCACTCCTGTGGGACCCAACGCACCGAGTGCGGCGCGGGACAAGATTTGATGGGTGGATGCGGGTGCGGGCGGTAAGGTCCTCATGTATGTGCGGGTTGCGGGAGAATAGAATTAATCGCAGGACTCCCGCAAAATGTAATTATCTTAAAATTAATTTATTAAAAACAAATACTCATTTATCTACTGCACAAAAGCAACAAGAACGACTAAATTAAAATAATAACAATTTACAGGCGAATCGTCTACAGAAACTACAATTGCCGCGCTCTGAGTGCCGGGGGACGTAACCGGACACCCCAAGAAGGAATCAGTCTGGTGCTTGGACGGGATGGCATGTTCTGAAAAGCTCCTCGTTCGTGTCCATGTTCATCATTCCATTTAATTAAACTCAAATAAAACGAAACATTTGTTTATTTTCCATTTCTTTTTATATATACACTCAAAAGGGAAAAGTGAAACAAATAACAGAGTAGCGGGAAGAAGCGGTAAAAATAAAACTACTAATATGTTTACCTGCGGGATTTTGCGGGCGGGAACCGGGACAAAACTTGAATACTGCGGGCGGGAGCGGGAGAAAATAATATATATTTTTTGCGGGAGCGGGACAGAATCTTGCGGGAGCGGGACTGAAAACTCCGTCCCGCGCAGGTCTCTACATCCATCCATCTATCCATTATCATAACCGCTTTCTCCCCACTGGGGTCACGGGGGTCACGGGGGGCCCGGAGCCTGTCCCAGGAGCATCAGGCGCAGGCGGGAACCAACCCTGTGTGGGCCCCAGCACACCGCAGGGCGGCTGCAGTCCCAGTGAAATGATAAACATTTGGGAGAGCCACTTTAAAAGTATCAACCCTGAGAAGCCATTTCTAATATCAGTTTTTACATATTTTCATGTTTTATGTTCATTTAATAGGTATGTATTTTATTTACAGTGGTACCTCAGAACTCAAACTTAATCCGTTCTGATCGAATTTTCTCCATAAGAAATAATGGAAAACCAATTAATTGGTTCCCGGCCCCAAAAAAATACACTTCAATATGTTTTTTTATCATTTAAACACAAAATGAACCAGATAAAACATATAAGAGCATATACTGTACTAAACACATCTAAGCACATGTGTGGCACACGGCTCCTTCCGTGTGCCACGCCCCCTCGTTAACCCCGTGTGGAATCCCCATGTGATCAGCTGTTTCTGGTTGTTGTCATTAGTCCTCTGTATTTCGTCCGCGTTTCAGTTTGTTTCCCCAGCCCGTTCATTGTATTGTCCGTCTGCGTTTTGCCTGCCTTACCTGTATTTAACCCCGTATTCCCCGATACCCTGACGTCTGCGCCTTTGTCTCAGTTCTGTCCCCGCTTGGCATGACAATATTCTAATTAAATATATTAATGGTTTATTGTTAATATTAAAATAAATAATAAGAAATCTTTAATTTTAAATGTATTTTATTATATAATAATAATTACTGTTACTGTCTATCATTGTCTAAATGTATTTTTACTGTCTAAATATATGTATTCAGCTAGTGTAAACATGCACGGTGCTATCACAGCAAATGCAAGGCTGAGACTGAAGCTTTACCCTTTGTTTCCACTGAGAAACGTGCCGCGTGACTCATTTCCCCACGCGTACAAGTTATCTTAGGTCGGCGTTCACGGTTAAACTTCTGAGATTCAGATCGAGTTCTAGGTAATTTTTTTCCGAACTGGTTGGTTCGACTTTCGAGTTCTAATGAGGTCGAGAACTCATTAGAGTTCGAGTACTTCATTTTCTGTAAAGCACCTTGAATGACCTTTGTGTCTGAAAAAATCCTATATAAATAAAGTTGACTTGAGAACAATAACTGCAGCACAGCTCCAGTGCAGCTCTAGTGCAGCTCCAGTGCTGCCCCCCTCATAATGTTAACGTTACTCCTGCTCCTGTCCCCTATGTCACTAATGCCACACAAACAGTCAGATCCCCCATCTCCTCATACTCTACAGATTTGGTAGCCAGCATCTAATGTTCCAACTGACTTCTCCTTCAATGGGGGGTGGGGATCGGCATAAATCATCTGAGTAACATGAGTCTGTGGGGGAAAGTTGAGTTCTTCCTCAATGGGAAGGGTCACAAGCTGTAACCATGGCAACATCCCAGCCAGGGCCTCCGTGTTTTACTTCCTTTATATAAAAACAGTCTGTATAATAATCCTGTCAGAGCATTCAGAGATGGGACAGTGTGACCTAGGTGGTCAGCGGGAGCTACATGAACAGCAGGAGGCGCTGAAACGCACAGGCTTAAGTTCAGGGCCATCTGCTAAAAAGAAGACCCAGACAGACTTCTAGCGGCCAGGGGCTGCTGAGCATGCCTCTGAAGAATGGCGGGGGCTGGCTGGGCTCCACATTAGTGTGTGTGTGTGTGTGTGTGTGTGTGTGTGAACGTTTGAGTGATTGTGCAAGGGC